ATATCTGCTGGGGAAAAGAGTTACTATTTCACATCAGAAGTCCTGATTTTGAGGCTGTTTTTGCAGAAAATATGGTTATATTTCATAAGGAAAAAGGAAAATTACTATCAATTTTCCATTAAATTCTGTAATTCTACTGATGCATTTTTACAAAGCTATCTGTACCACCCCAGCAGTGGGACCATAATATTTCAAAAAAACCCAGGATGAAAGGGTAAATTTTCTACCTAGAAATCCTTAATTGCTTGAAAAGGAAACAACCTATAGTTTTTTCTCAAGTATAATTTCCAGCTGAGGGGCTAAATTCACCAAGAGAATTGAGAAATTGCCACCAGTACTTTGGTGTTATAGAAATTTGTTTACTTGGCCCAGAGGTGCCTGCGTTTCACTCGGGTACAAAACTGTCTGCGCTCCGTAACCACTGAGTTCATTGAGGCATGACTCCTGCTTAAGAGTTAAAAAGATTATCAGAAAAAGAGTGCCCATCTCTTCTTCCTAGCAAAGCTTTACCTTGCAGTTACCAAATTGGCTGTCCTGCAACAAACAGATGACCTTTTTTTTTTAAAGCCAGATACGATAGGTCTTCTACTAGTCCAGGGATTACTATGTCCACCCCGACAACAGTATTCTGTCTGCAGTGGAACAAAGACATGGATCTGTCTATTTTGGGGCTTAACTGGAGATACTTCACGTATTCGAACTGCAGAAGAGCGTTACCAAAGTCTACTAGGCAGTGGACACTGATTGCCCCCATCTCCTGCAAACATCAGGAGGAGAGGAGGATGCTCTTCTCACTTGGGATGGGGTCCTGTGCGTGTACCCAATGCACAGGATTAGCAGCGGATCGTTTAACACATGGCTGTTCTTGGCACAGTTCAATTTCCAAAGCAATTTCTCGGAGTGCAGGAGGTGAAGGATGGCACCACCTTTGCTGATTGTCCCTTGCTGAGCCGTAAATTGATACTGATTGTGAACAAAAAAGGTCTCCAGTAACAGCTTGGCAAAGTGGCAGCAGCCATAAATACATAGGAAAGAAAGGAGCCATCTCCTAACAAGCTGGTTGTCTCCAGAGGAAAGTTGCAGCGCTTTTTATTAGACATTTTTAGATAATTAAAAAGAGGTGATATTATTCCGCTGGTTATTTGTGTCTATGAGCTTAGTTCACACGGAAAGAATCAGCAGTGTCACCCAATATTCCCTCATACAATCACTATTTTATCTTAAATTTTGAATAGAGGATATTTTTTCTTAGAGCCTCTGTTTTTATGGTGATAACTGCAGAACACAGATGACTGCATTTAAAAAGATCCATGGGAAAGCTTCAGAATGGAACTCAGCTGCAGCCTGCAGGCTTGGAAAAGCAAATGAAGAGTCTAACCTATAGTACCAAGATTTTTATATCTTGCATGTTTCGAAAGGTTGGGATGCCAGGAGCAGGGGAACACCCAAACCTGGTGTTGTACCTGTATTTTCTGCTGTGGTGATCTATGGAGCCAGGGATTAATAGTGAAAACGGGTACAATTTTGCCTTTCCATTTTTTGCCGTTTCAAATATCTGCCAAAGAAAATATGGCTAACGTTCTCCCAATGGCTGCAGGGGCCATGGGCTGTCTTTTCCTGCTTACCTGCAGCCTGGTTTGCTGGAGTGAATGTAGAAGACACAAAATCCGAAGGGAAGAGTCAGTGCGAGTGTTTGGTGGGGAAGGGCCACGTGTAGGTCACGTGTTTCTAAACGCGGTGGCTGCCACGGCTGTTAATGCATTTCCTCCTTGTCTTTTTGGTTTTACTATCACATATGGGGCCATCTGGTTCCTCTGTGGGACTCCCAAGGCTTTTTGGCGAGCACGCATGTGAAGATGTCTGGGGTTTTTCCTCTTCGAGCCTTTCCACTACATCTTATTTCTAGAAACCCTGCTTAAACAGGAGTTTTCACAGACAGCTGCAGTCTCTACCCGTAACACAAACCTCCTCGCTGTCACCAGCACTGACGCAGTAGGGCAGCGTTGAGAAAAAAATTCCTCCTTCAGCTACAAGGCTGGTGGCACCTGAAGAAAGCGAATGCCCTTTGCACGGCGGTTCAGGCGCTGTGGCAGGGGGTGCAAGGCAGATGCTTGTGGTCCCCTCAGCCTCTGAAGTGAGCATGTGGCACGGTGGCTGAAGGAAGAAGGAAATTTTAAATATGCCAAAAGCACAGATTCATTCCTTTCAGGTCTTGAGGGGTTAGAAGCCCTTGAATTGTCTTGAATGCTATTTTTTTTTTTTCCTGAGTTGTATCAGATCAGAACCTGCTTATGGAGCTGCTGGGCCTTCTGGGAAGATGAATGTGACCTATAGAATCACATTTATCACGGTGTCTCTTGTAAGAAGCACAGCCTGCTTTCAGGGTAGCTGGGTGGCTTATGGAGATGCAGAACTGGAACAGTTCAGCAATCAGCAGCTTGGTGCAAAGGCCTTCGTGAAGGAGATGAAGCAATGACTAAAACCAGAATAAATTTACTTTACAAGGAAAGATTAATCATTGTACAAGAGGAGGATTGCTTCAAGTGTAAGCAAGGAGATTGTGCTACAAGTAATAAAGTTAGCCAGAGAATAAGCACCAAAAGAACTAAGTACTAGCGGATACATTTCAAACAAGTTTTATCTGGCTTTAAAATACTCCTTTTTGAGAGGTAGGGCCAGACGTGTATGAAGGCTGAGCAGTCTCAAGGGATGGATTCCACGCTGGGGGACACTGCCTCTGGTTATCATTTCAAATTTTCCAATTTCAGAACATTGAAAACTTTCCATCGCTGTCAAATCTGTTTAACTGTAACGGAAATTTATTCTTGTCGAACAAAACTGCTTTCTTATAAATAGCGAGGATTGGGCACAGCTTGTGGTTATAGATGTATATCACAAAAATATTCATGTCTGGAAGCCTCAGCTGTCAGATGAAGGACTGTATGGGACTAGGGCCTGAGCTTCCCCCTTGCCTTTGACATTGGTTGCAGGGCATTATCTCAGAGGCTTGGTTTCAAAGGCTGTACAGTGATAATGTCCCTCAAAGAGCTTATAACCTAGAGGTCAGAAAAAGGCATCCACAGATGAGACAAATGGCTTGGGGTGACATAAGCTGTAGCATGAAATCTAAGATGATGTGGAAACACTTCACCAGTAAATGTCCAGGGTCTTGCTGCTCTGCCCTCCTGGCCACTGTCAGGCTGCAGTTCATCCCATGCTCGCAGGAGCCGGGGGGGTTGAGAAGGGATTTCAGGTGGCGCAAAGCAGTGACCGTGATTTTTGAGACTGTGGTATGCCAGCAACGCCCTGCTGCACAGGGAGGATGAACTGGTGCTGTTATGAAGCCAGAAGTTTCTGCTTGTGGCACAGAATGAGAGAGGCCAGGAGGGATGGAAAACGGATAGCTGACATTTTTTGCATATCACCTTAATTTCTATGCCACTTAAAAGGCTTAAAGGTTTAATTATGAATATTGGCAGTGAAGAGGGTGGGATAAAAGGCTGACTGAATTTTGGAGCAGCATGTAGGAAAAAAGGGCAAGACTTTTCAGAGGGACCTTTTTTTAAATAAAAACTCTGTACTTGAGAAACCTATACTTCACTAACATTAGTTTATATCTGGCATTTAGTTTTGGTTTAATAACAGGCATAGAAGGAAACTGAAAATATCTGAATGTTTTATCGGAGCTTTTTTCTAAAGGAGATGTTTCATCTAGGAAATATAGATTTTTAAGAGAGCAAGTATAAGTACAAAAGAGGAGAGAAAATCAAATTGATAAAAACAAATCAAGAGGGGGTCTGGAAGAGAGAAGACCTAAAGTAACGGGAAAGAAGTCTTCACAAGCAGAACTTAAATTAGATTTTAACATGGATTTTCATTTATGCACAATATGCCTTAAATTTTGTTACATTTCTGAGGAAAATAGCTCATAGTTCTGTTGATTTTAAGGTGATACACAGACTGTGATTTCAGACTGCTAGCATTAGTAAGAATTGTCTAGAATGACTACTAATTGGTGAAGCTGGGGCAAATTCTGCTCTCAGGCCAGCCTCTCTGCTGTTTGCTGCATGGGTAGGCTTCTTTTCCGACATCTCTCCTGCTGCGAGTTCACAGGAGATGCCCTACTGGTAGGTGGGCATCCCCAGGCCTGAAGACGGGCAGGCAGGCCAGCGGCAGCAGCTGCTCCTGGCCTTTGCTCCCACCAACTCCGGATAAAGATCCTAGGGAAATGGGACAGTTGCTAGTTTTCAATCAAGTTAGTAGGTCAAATTAAAAAGAGAGCTCTCATCGCAGCTGGCTGAGTGCCTCGTCTTCACTACAAATTCACTTATGCCTGGATTACAAATTTTCTTTTCCCCCCTCCTATGAGGATTTAGTCTCTGTTACAAAATCAGGGTATAAAAAAATTTCATGTCACCATAACAGGTACAATAATATTTTGGATGAATTCAAATCCTTGCAATTATTATTCCAACTCAAGCTAAATTAAATTTAATTATGAAACAGCAGCTTCTGGAGTAACGTAAATGTCACTTCAGGCTTTGATGAATCCGGATTAGTGGTTTTGGTTAGAAAGAGACATAATGAAGCCATGGCTGCTTGGAAAAATTCTAAATATTTGCTACACCCTGCTTAAAGGGAAATTATTCTGATCCACAGCTTTTACTATGTTTTAATAACCTCTGTAAACCTCTCTGATTTACTCTTTTAAAAGATTCATTCTTCAGCATTTAAGTTGAAAGCATTTTATGACGGAATATTTTACCAGGTCCTATGGACTTCATATGCCACTTGTGCATCTGCCTTTTCTGTGCACCAGGAGGAGGAATGTGAAAGATACTGACCTACTTTAGAACAAACAAAAACAGATTTAGTAAATAATTAAAAAATAAATCCTTCTCTTTCAGAATAATCCTTGCAGAACAATAGAGCAATATTTCAAGCTTTAAAACTATACATTTTTATTTCACTGTATTTTTCATTCAGAAAAATTCTGGAAAAATGAAGACTTTGCATTCAGTGGAGAAATTGTGCAGTGTCTTGAAGATACTATTAACGCTATTAAGAAATTGGTAAGTAAAAGCTAATATTTAGCTTCAAATACATGGGAGTTTGTCGGCAACCATGAAAGTAATCTTTTACGCTTGTGCTATTAGAAGTGTTCTCTTGGGTGAATTCTATTCTACCTTGAGAGAGAGCTAGGCAGTTTGGAGCACAGCTGTGGGTGCTTGCATGCACTTTGCTGCCTGCAGAATTTTGGCTGCCACAGAACAAAGCAACCCGGCCAGGCTGGATCACACGGCTGATCCAAGCCTGAGCTCACCTGCTGATGGTTTAAGGGGGGAGCAGTAGATGCCATCTGTACTAGAGACTGGTGAAACCTGGGGCATGCACAGACTTCCATTGAAGTAAAAAGAGGAAGGGTCTTAGGCTCAGCAGAGTAAATTGGGACTCAGGGTTGAAGTTTTGTTCGCAACTCTGTTGTGTCTTCATAGTTTGCTTTTGTGCATGAGGTGTAAGCTCTGAACCTACAGTGACTTAGTAGGAGCATCAGAAAAATCACCTGAAGGCAAAGGTCTACTTGTGTAGAGTTTTTTGCATGATAAGGGCTTTAACACTGTCAATGCAAGTGAGAAAAATAATGCTTCCCTCCCAGGGCTGCTGTGAGGATACACCCACTAATGTCAGTGTGTTCTGCAGGTGATACAGAGTTCAGTAGGTAGGTGGTTTGCCCTACGATTAGGTGCAAAGGGATTTTTTCTAAGTTTGTCTTTCCTTGAAACAACTGCATTGTGTGTGATAATAAGAGACCTTACAGCAATCATGAGCTGAGGATGGCCGTGCATAGGTAGCTGACTTTGCTGTAAGACCTCTGAAGCCGTTAAAGCCAGAATGGCTTCAAACAGAAAGTATTTTAAAAGTAGCTCCATAAAGTATTTGTCTAGGTAGGTGTAAATCTTGTAAAACTGCCTCCTTCAGTAGGCCTCTAAATCATCCATTTCAGACTAGGTCTGCATTAGTCCATCAGAGGAGTGTTTTATGTAATGTGCTGAAACCATAAAGCTGTTTTCTTTTGCACTGCTTCAGCTAATTGAGGATGTAACTCATACGAAATTAAAACCTTCTACACATTTATTTTACACCTATAATATTTCATCTTCCCAAGGAAATGAGAGTAATTTATATGTGTGCATATAGAATTGCTCTGTAGACAGTAAAAAATCAACAGTATCTTTTCTTCCCACAGTGTCTCAGCTGGTGATTGTAACCACTAGCAAAACTGAAGGAGAAAGATAGGATTGGTTTGATGCATAAGCTGTGATGCCAAAGTCAACATCCATTTAAGAACAGATTTCCTTTCCCAGACATTCGGGGCTTCATCAACACATCAACGATACTCAGTCATACAGATTTAGGGATTCAGTTCTTTGAGGGCTTCTCCCACATCAGCTCAGTCTGTTTTCTCTTGCTCCACCATCACTCTCCAAGTGACCCTTCCCGTACCATTAACCAGGAACCAGAAGATGACTTTCTAGTGTGTCCCAAGGCCGGCTAGAGTCCCCCTTCTTCAGTATAGCTTTAGGCCATGGGGAATTAGGCTCTTCTGTTGCTTAAATAATACCCTACATGCACAACGGCTGGCAGCTAAGACCTTCCCTGCTAGCACAGCATTTGTAGCAGAGATGAGGGTAATGGCTTCCTGAAGGTTGTTAATTCAGAAGCCAACAGTTCCTGGAGGTAACATAGGTTTGGTCAGCTACCTGTAAAACAAATTGCTTGTTATTTTGAAGAGTGAAAGAAAGGGTGAAAAACAGAAAGTATGAGCAAGGGAAATGATGTATCTAGGCATGGAAAATATCCAGTATCAACTAAATAAAAAAGTATGAAATAATGATTTTGTAAGGAAGAAGTGCTTTTTCGTCTGTTGTTGTATACATTTGGTTCTCACATGTGGATTTTTTAATTGTTAGGAAGAAAAGCAAAGGCATACTCTTGAATGCCTAGAAGAGGAGACTATAAAAACCAGCAATCTACGCTTCAGAGTGCAGAATTTTCCAGGAGAGATTATTGCAGAGATGACAGGTAGTACTGACTTTTCTGAGAAAAGAAGATAATTTTATTTTCTATGCATTTAAATTATTTGAAGTATTCTATAAAACAAATCTTACTGCTTTCAATAACAACTTTCTAATGAAAGAAGATTAGTGTTTGCTGATGTGAGATGTTGTGAGAGACTGTTCTTGCACATAAGACTGTAAATGAGAGAGATCTTCACCGAAGACCATGCACAAGTGCTAGAAGAATGTCTGAAGAGCGGCAGCGTTCAGTTTTGATCCCAGCCCTGCCACAGCCTTAATCTGATACTTGAGATGGAGCACTTGAGTGCTCTATGCTGTAAGTTGCCTCTTAGTGAAGCAGGGGTAATAATGCTTATCTGAGGTGACATTACTTTCAGGTGGGTTCATCTGACCAAATGCTTATCAACTGTCTCTTTTAGACAGTGAAGAGAAAGAGGTGCTTCTGGGCATGATTCATCTCACCTTAGAATTAGATGTTTAAAGCAAATCAGAAGAATCATGAACTTAAAGTGCCTCTTTCTCTCCACTGGCTATGAAGAGAGCCTAAAGCCTTAGTTCAAATGTGGGTATCTAGATGAAAATAAAGTTTAAGCTCTATATCTTTTTTTTTCTCAGGTATGGCTTCAAGATGACCAACCCATATTCTGCTACTGCCCTTCTATTTGCAGTGTAGTCACAAAGCATGGTGGTCAGGGAGCTGAGCTAGGTGAATGTTAGGATTTCTTCTTTTGGGAGAAGGAAGGGAGTTGGAGATCTTTAACCAGCTAACCATGAGGCTGCATGATTGCTAGTGCTGGCACAGGGGCAAGGATGGCAACGTGGCAGGGTGGCCAGGGAGAGAAGAACTGCTCCTTTTGGAGTACTACGGAGCTAGAGCAACTTTAGGTTCGTCATGAAGCAGCAGCCAGAGATTTTTGTTGTTGTTGTTGCTGTTTGTTTTTCCCCAGCTGCATTCACTGTTTGTTGATTACTTGCTTATAGCAAGTTTCCTCCCTCACCTTCTCTCTGCCTATAGCACGTGGTTGCTGTGCAGTTTGTCGGTTGTTTATACTAGCTGCTCCCATTCCTCACTGCCGAAGTGTTCTGTGCGTGGATGGATGTACACTGACGTGCCTGTTATCTCAGAAGCTAGCAAGATGCGGTAGTACAACGCCCCTGCTCAGAGGAGCTTTATCCACAGTGCCTCTTCCTGCAGACTCTTTGCTTTCACACAGCAGTGGCTCTTCTGGGAGAAATGCTATTGAATTTCAAGCAAGGTGATCCTGCTCCTTGTCTGTGGCTGCCAGAGCTGGTTGTGCAGAAGATTTTGGGGGGGGAAGGAAGTAATTTTTATCAGTTCATTATATGTCTAAGGAATTTCTTATACATGTAGTATGAAAAAGAGCAGTTGTTCTGTGCGAGCACAGCAGGCTTTGTCTCATTGATAAATGCAGATGACTCAGGGAAAACATGATAAGACTAAATTACTGAAATAAAGTACGTGATTTTAGGGACGTTGGTGTCAGAATCACAGCTGTTCCTGAGGGTACTTACAGTAGTGAATTAAAGATTATGGATCAATTCCTTAATGCATTATCTCATATATATATATATATTTGTAGCTAAGACATTTCTGCATGTTTTATATTAATTTTTTAGCTCTTGTTACTGCTGCACGTGAATCTAGTGCTGCTAAAATAAATCAGCTGCAGTCTGCACTGAAAAGCACTGCTGCTGAGATTGAATTACTGGAAGAGAAGCAAACCCTTTGTGAAAGACTGTGGTATGTATTCATTTGAACAAGGAAAACCATACTGGAGAGATGATTAAGGAGAACTGAAATGTTATCAAAACACAGTGAGTAGTGCTTGGCCCTCTCCCCTGCAGCTAGCCGCAAACGTTCCTAGGCAACTCTCTGCTGCAGCAGCAAGCCTGATTTTCAAGATCTTGTTTCTTGAACAGCAGAGCCTGCCTGCTGCTGCCTGCCCTCTGTAGCCCTGAGGAGCTCGCTGAGGGAGAACTGTCTGCAGCTTTGCTTCTCACACTGGCGGGGAGAGTTTTCTCTTTCGCCAATTAATGTTAAGGATGTATTACCGATGAAAACCGTATTTTTCGGTTAAAACAAGAACTGTGGAAGGAACTCTGAATCAGTAACTGTGCTAGACATCCATCTTCCTTTTCAAGAGTTACCCCAAGAGGATACAGAGACTTGAGAGATACTTGTTTTCTCCCTGATAGATTTCAGGTTACTGTCACCTTCTGCCATGCCTCTAAAGCTGTTCAAAAATAAATCACAATGCATTTTCTTAGGGGAAGCCTGCTTTCTTTGTTCTTTCAGTGCTTGCAAGCAGCCCTTCCATTTTTAATGAAACTTGTGGAAAATAATCACATCAGTAAAGCAAAACTTTTAAGAAGTTATAATACAAATAACTGAAAGCTGTTTCATTGGAATGTAAGGTCTTAGATGGTCTTCATCACAGGTACCGCTGCCTGTCAGCCTGTCACGCTTCATAATATGTATAGTGCTATAGTAGTCTGCGTTGCTAACATATGGATAGGCAAGTATTCATTTCAATGAACGTCTGAACCAAGTCTTTGATCTGAATGAATGGGAGGAAATATCATTTTCATCTATTATTTATTTTTTTCCAGTGAGGAGCAAGAATACTTGCGGGCACAGTATCAAGAAAGAGTAGACTTGCTGAATGAAAGGATGGCAACGAAAGCTAACACAAATGTTCTCTTAATTGAAACTTGTGATAAAACAAGAGATATAGAAAGAGAAATAATTAGGTTGAAGGCAGCTTTAGCAGAACTGAACTAAAAAATAGGTGAAAAAAATGAGTAAACTTGAGAAAGAGAAAGAAGAATGTGATAAAAAGGTAAAGGCTGTGAAATGTATTTCACAGTTTTACAGGTCATTACATAGTGCCAAAACTGAAATAACCTGAGAAATTATTCCAGATGTTGTATTTTGCTCCCTCCTGTGGAGCTAACATTCGTCTGCGCAGAGCACAAACAGCAAAGTGACGCTCTTGACATTGGGTGCACTCCTGCTGTTTTGACTTCTGTATACACGTGCTTATGTGTGTGTGGTGTGTATACACAGATATATACATATACACACACACACAAACATGCGCACATCAAAATTGCATGGTACAGGGAATTTGTTGTCTAGCAGCACGTCTCAGAATGCCGTGTCTGTATTGGTGCTGCTTACTGACTGTGGGACAAATAATCATGTACTGGGAATTCAACCCCTCCAGGCAAACTGCTTAAAATGAAGGTACCTATGTTTTCCAATAAGCTCTGAGACAAGGTTTTGCTTTCTTTTTTATATTCTGCCCTACTTTCAGTTGTGTGTATTTGATATCCTTTCTGAACGATACCATAAAAACAGATGAGATGTATAATCAGGTTCCCACACTGGAATAAAATCAAATGAAATTTTGACAGATCAGGTCCTAATTTGCATGTTATATTAAATAATTATTGTTTATTTTTCGTATAGAATTTGGTCACTTGGTACATAGCTGTGGCTTTTGCAGAAAATTATTTTCTTCCAGTGTAGATTTTGTGCTCATTTAATTTTGGAAGGCTTCAGGTGTTTTAATGCAAATTATTAAACCATGCACAGTACATTGCTTAATTAATTGTATTACTTTAAATGTAGAAGAGAGAAATGAAAAAAACTCTTGATACTCAGGAGGCAAAAACTTCCAAGAAAAAGCATGAATTTGAAAACTTGACTACAAAATTTTTCAACATACAGCATCTGATAAATCTGAATTCAACAGTAAGTTCTATACAAAATGGTTTTGGTTCACTAGTACAGAGGTCAATATTCTATTCCATAATTCAATTCCAAAATTCAATTTCATAATTGGTCAAAGTGAGGGGAATTCATAGAGAAGTGTAGTCCCTACCTTTTAAGAAGAATAATAAGCTTGCATAATATCAGATGGACTGACATTATTAACTGTTAGTTACTCAGTCATAAAACCACTTTCAAAAATAGAAGGTCCATATAGACTATTTTTACCAGTTTAATAAAACAGTTGGCTGCTCTGTGCTGGTCAGTCTATTTGTCAGCACATTTTTACAGAGAAAATTAAAATAAGTCAGTGAGAGGATGCCTTGGATCCCAGTCCCGCACAGGCCTCTGCTGGAGCTACTTGGGGGACTAGCTGAAAAAGCGAAATGATAATCAACAGACATTTGGTGGATGCAAACTATGATATAGGGTGAAGAAATAGCAGGAAATTTAGAAAAGAAGACTCTGTTCAGATACTGTGAAAGAGTTTGTACTGGAAAAGCGTTGTAGGAACTAAAATAAGCACAGGGACTCTTATGCTGAGCTGCCTGGGAATGCATGCAGCAGTGTAAGTCACTCCACACTGGTAGATGCGACAGTTTTAGGGAGGCTCAGGATCTGGAAAGTCAAAGCTAATAAGGCTAAAAGACAACTGGGCTTTCTCTGTCTGTCGACTGTCTAATACTGGCTTCCAGTTCAACCCTGCCTTATCTAGAACTACTTTTCTCTTTTTGCAGGGCTAACTTATCAAAGAAAAGGAAGGAAAGATCAGTGTCTTTATCTTTGCTTTTATGATTTTTTGCAGTCTTAACACAAACTATGCGCGTTCAGTTGAACATCTGCCGAGTTACCTCAGCGCTACTGAAAACAACCGTACTGCAGAACTAATACTTGTGTAATGAGCTGAGCCAAACTGAGATGTAAAACATAGTTTTCTGCCTTGGTCTTGCCAATTTCTGCTAGAAGCACTGCTGCCTTCCCAGTAAAAGTCCATTTTGTCTGAAGAAGTACCACGTTAGCAAAATTTCCAGAATTGTACCCGAGTTTGCTCTGCACTGAGGTTCCCGTAAGTGACAGATTTCGTAGGTTAGTTTTTTAAAGTTTCTTTTCATTACCAACCTGCATTGATTATTTTGTTTTAACTGTTTCAGTGATTAAATACAATAAATGCAGCCTTAACTACTGCTTCCCCAGTATTCTTTCTTTGCAGGCTGTAGTAATTTTGACTGTGAAATCTCAGAGTGGCTAGAAAATAGTAGAGTCTCATGCAGATATTATGAAATCCTAAAAAAAAAGACCAGTGGTGGTAAAAGGATTCATTATCTGCTGTTCTGGAAATTTCAAATGTTTTTTTATAGGCTGCATTTAATGAGCAAATTCTCATAGCAAAACTGAAAGAAAAAAGCAAGCAACTGGAAAAGACCCTGGAATTTAAAAATACAGATATGCTGGCACTCTCAGAAAAGAAGTAAGAATTATTAGACCGTTTGATGTGATCTTTTTCCTAAACCTGTATCAGTATTTTCTGAGGGAATTTTACCCAATATTTAAGAAGAACAAGCCAAATTCTATAAAGTATGTGAATTATGCAATGAGAATCTTTCTGTTGGCTTCAGTGGGCATACAGTAAAGACTTGGAGAGCAGCTGCAGTTAATATAAATTAGCTGTCAGGGAACAAATATACACAAACAGTGCCCTTTGGACTAGAGTTATACTTTTCTTCTAACAGTATGCATGGGAGGAAAGCCAGTCGTTACTCTCTGCATATGCTAGCATTGTCCTGTCAGCTGGAATACTTATATTTGTTATGGCACAGAGATTTCTTCTTCTGTACGTTACCTGAGATGCAAAGCATCACAAATTGTGTGAATAAGCAAAATAATCCAAATATCATTCTATGGGCTTGTCTGTGTTACACCCATGGAACTCGATGTGGAGATCCTCAATTTAACATTATCCAGGCTAGCTCCATGGCTGCTGCTCTTCTGACTCTGCCATAGGCCCTTCTGAAGGGTTGTATGACCAAAGTGATGGGGAAAAATAGCTGAGACTCTTCCTGGTGATTCAAACTTCTTGTCTGAACCCATTTCCCTCTACCAGCTGAGCTAAGAATACTCACAAAGATATGAGTTCTTGGAAACTTCGGTAAAATTATTGCTCTGAACTCTACTATTTTTCTTGATGGCAGAACTAATTCATTAACGTCTTCGTGAAATGAATGTTGCCATTAATTAACAATGTAATTACTGTAAAAAATGAGCTGCAGTCAGCATCCGGCCGTGGCCCTTGATCCTGTAGGCAGTTATAAATTACTTACCTTTACTTTACTGAATATTAACTTCAGTAGGAATATTCATGCTAGGGAAGTTGACCACACTTACATTTCGAGGGTCCAAGTAGTTATGATCTGGTGATGGCCACAGACCTGTGGGATATGGGGAATTTCGTAGCCTTAGTGTAACAGAAGCATTGTCTTTCTGTTCTTTTTGTGCTGTATTTTTATAGCTGCTCAGTGTTGTGAATGTCTTTATTTCAGAGGGTTTAACTTTCATAACTCATTCTACTGTTCATTGTAACAGATGAGTTAGGCAGTTGATTTAAAGCAAGGATCTGGTCAATGTATTTTTTCCTTCATAATGTTTGGCACATGCTCTCATAGTCATTATGGATTTCTGCTTCCATATTTGCTTGCTATAAAACTACTACGATGCTGGGGCTTTCTCTTCCTCTTTTTTCTTTTTGATGTCTTCTCCTTTGTATCAGATTTCATTCTTCAAACACTTCTTTAGGTAGGTTCATGATTGTTGATGACTCCTGGTTTGTATAGAAGACAGAAAAAGGAAGTGAGTATCCCTTGTTATGACTGTGTCCTGTAAAACATACAAACACACAATGTCCATCAGAAGCAAGAAGGATAAATCTAGGCTCAAATTTTCTCATTTTAACCTGTAGACTTGTTGCTGGTAGGACTTACCTACCTGAAAGCCTGTCTGTTTTCTCCTTGTGTACTATTTCTATCAGTTTGTCTATAGAAATATTGCCTCTCCCCACCAGCCTTCCTTGGCTTGTATTTTAAGATCTTGCAGTAGAAAGCCTACTAGTTCTGTATGTCCTTCTTTACGTGTTTTATTCTCATCAGATATATTACAGGGAAGTAACAAATAAGAATATCTGCATGGAACAGAGCTCAAATGCATGCAGCCATTCACATAGTTTATGTTTACATGAAGGGCCTGAGAATAAGAATATATAATTTCTAATAGTTGTTAAAATAATTTTTTGTTAATATGCTCCTAAATATGTCTACATTGGCTTTCTTTAACAGAATTCAGCTTGATTCTGAGTTATTGCTTTTACAATCAAGAATTGCCCAAGAAAATGAGGATTTCGATAAGGAATTTGAAAAGGTAGGAGAGGTATTTTTATTCTGGCTCAGAGTATTTACTATGCCTTGTCTGGTTGAAACACTCAATGAGAACAGGCTTGCACAAAGTGTGACGTGAGGTGCTTTAGGTGCTTTGATTTGCCTGTGCCTCTGTGCTTGATGAGCATGAGCAGGGAAAACATCCACAAACATCTGCATGACGTGTGGTCTCTACAGTCAACTCTACTTGGGCTTTGAAGGTCGTGCTGGAAGTAGGGGCAAGATCTGCTCTTCAGCTGAGGCCATGGGCTGATGTTCAAAGACTTAAGTGGCACTGAGAGATGGGGTGGGATTCAGGATGTGGCCTTGTGAGCTGGGATGCAAGGGAACAGAGGGTCATGAGGCTAGGATGTCGACCTGGGAGGGGGTGTATGTGCAGTAAGAGAATGGGGCAGGCAGGTGTATGTAGGGGGAATGTGGGAAGATTAGTTAACAAGGATGAGGTCGGGCTCCTAGTCTGGAAAGCTGAGTGTTGAGTTTTCATAGTCGTTGTTGCTGTCTTGCTCCATGCTTTTTTACACTATTATTAACTTTTTATTTCATGTGGAGAAAAGATAACTAGTGGTAGCAGTCTGTTTGCTGAACCTGTGAAGGAACACCTAATGCCTGAGATTATTGTTATTATGTAGACTACACACATCTAGCAGGGGGTGGTTTCCTAGTTATATATACCTCTTCACCAGAGGCGTACATACCAAAAAAGATGTTGGTCCATTATAAATTCTGCCACACTGATTTTAGGCAGCACGAGGTGGGAGCCACATTCTCCCCATCTCCTACTTCTCTCCTCCTTGATATTGCATGCCCACCATCCCAGTGTTCCTTCATCATCAAGCCTTCCCCATTCCCACTCTATCACTCTTTGTAATCCATACAGTGGAAGTCACTACCTCCAGCTGGAGCAAGGTGCCATGTGTGAGGGAGCAGCACACAGCTTGCAGGCTGTTTCAGAGTGGTTGGTTGGAATGAGGCCATGGAAATGAAGATCCAGAACCATGACTCTGATGTGATATCCATATATGTTAATTACATACATGCTGTGAATCTGGATTAATTATAAAGTTTCTTCTCTGAGATTTTTTGATGAAAGGCACTAGTGCAGTATAGAATGTTCTTGTAAGGTAAAACAGAGACAGAAATATTAACTTAACATCTGTGGTCCTTATTTCTAGACTAAAGAAGATCTACGCAATGCTAAATGCCTGAACAAAAAACTTCAATTAGAAATTAAAGCTGTGCGCCAAAAGTATGAACGAGCACTGGAAGAAGAACAGCACTGGGCTATAAAAAGAGATGAGATGGTGGCAAAGTAGGTTTTACCTGTCAGCTTTTAAATACAGATTTTTTTGAGTTTGTGATTTTATGACTAAGGGCTTTATTTGCTACATAGTGAGATTATGTTTCTGACAAAGTATCTCAAGTTTCCTTTTTCTTCTGCTAGACTGGGGAAATTATCTGTTTTGTTGGATGAAAAGCTTGAATTTCTGGCAAATCATATAAAGGAAAACAAAAGCCTAGAGAAGGAAATTGAAAATCTTGTAGACACCCTACAGTATGTAATTTTTCAGTATTGGGAATAATGGTCTCGGTGCCGTTCACTCAGGAGTTCAGTTGGTTTAAGAGATTCTGAAATGTAATTTTCAATAGGGAAGTTAAACGGGTTTGTAAGCTATACCACTAGGCTGGTATGAAACTCCATACAATGAAGAGATTAGCTGCCAGTTACCCTAATTTAATATGCTGTTTCTTATCACCAAGAAATTAACATACAGATAATGAAGGATACTGAAACAGTGCAGAATGTAAAACTTCACAAACTGTTCTGACTGTGAACTCCAGATTGTGATACCAGGTCTTGGACCAAGTCACTACGTCTTTACAGAGGTATCTGAGAAAATCTCTTTTTACTCGGCTAAGTCTATCTAAGCAGAGGTTTGCCCTGTATACAGAAGTTCTCTGAAAAACAAATCTTTGGGTTGTGTAGTCTAAGCAGAACAGACGACCTGTGCCCTGTGCAGTGGGGTACGGCTGGAGGAGCGTGGCCAGAGCACTGCAGCTCCCTGTTAGCCTGCAGTTGGTGGGAGAGGTTTGGGATTTTGCTGCTGTAGGAGAAGCAGGCCCGTGTGTACTGACCCCAGATATCCTGGTTTGGACCCAGTTCACTTATTTGCTGGAGAATCAGGAGAGCAAGGCCTCGTGTTGTACACTAATAATGAAATTCTGTCATGTAAGAAGGGTAATCCTGACAAAAGGGAGAGCTTTCATTTTTATCTCTGCTGGAGTGTCATCCTTTGCAAGAGAAAGTAAAAATGTTCACCCAGTTAATCTTACATCCCCCAAACCTAGCAGAGCCAAATATTTGCCCACACTCTGTGTTTTGAGGGAGACCCATTGTCCTGGTTCTGTGCAACGTTTTCACAGCGTGGCACCGAAGGGACTGTGCTCCCAGAGTCTTCCTGTTCTCTAAATCCTCCCGAGGAATGTTTGCTTGTTATGGAGTTGCCCTACTTCTGGATATAATTACAACTAAAAAGTAAGAAAATAGTTGCTCACCTCTCTTTGAATATGGAATAAGAAAACACACAGTACATTTATTCTGCTTTGTGGGAAAAGAAGTAGATTTCTATCTTGATAGGATCAGTGTCTGCGTTTTTCCTGACAAAGGAGACATTGTCGTCATGTACACGTGGGATGCAAAAATTAAGGCCAAGAGGTAGCCACACACTGCTAAAAAGGAGGTAGCTACGCTCTGCTAAAGGTAGGAGAACTTGTAATGAAGTGCAATGGAGTCTACAGTATAAAACTAAGTTAACAAGATAATGAGGTGAAATAATCATCACACAGTATCCTGACGCTAATTGGATATCTGCACTAACAATAGTAAAGGAAAGGGTTGTGAGAGCTTTCTCACAGAGTCAATCAGCTCTTAATTTCAGATTTTTAAAGCAGACTACATGGAAATGTACAAAATGCATCGCAGCTCTGACCTCTTAGAAAACCTGATTAAAAAATCGCCTTTCCCCAGTCCTTGTCCCTGAACTTTCCCTAGGTATTTATTCATCTTATTCTGTGAATTTTCACTGACTTCACAACATCCCTCTGCATCAAACTCAAAATAGTTTAATTTCAGTGTACATCACACAGACCTCCCAGACACTTAAACAAGGCCACGAAACTGGAAATCAGAATTAAGCTCCCTTGTTAATTTTCATTTTATCTAAAAGTAATATGCAATGTGTTCAGAATCTCACCATTCATCTTACAAGATTGACTGACCTTTTTTTTTTTTTTTAATAAGCAACTTCAAACAAAGTCTGTCAGGTTTCATTCAAACAGGGCAATCTTCAATTGATTAAACCCTCTGAACTGGGAAACCCACCAGCTTGACAACAGTGGACATAGTTTGGAAAGCATGGAATAGAAGTAGTATGATTTTTTGGGGGGTATCTAAGAATGATTTGGGACACATTCCACTACTATTAAAATGTCTTACAGTACTGGCTTGATACATTTAGCTTTACATTTGGAACAAGAAAACCTTTGGAAAAAAGCCTCATACTACCTCTTTGTAAATTCCCATGGGGTTTGGATTGGGTGCTTCCTACCACCTTTGTGACCTGAAGGAGTGAGAATCACTGGTTTCATACTACCAACCTTTTTTTATTGTATTGAACTCTCTTAGCATGTGTTGAATACATACAAAGTTTGTGTATTTTAATATTTACCCCACATGATACACTAGAAAATACATAATAAGAAATTCAAATAACTTTATTTGGCATTTTTCATTTTGGAACATCTGTTCTTGTGGTTTGCATTTGTTTATTGTTTCTGGCTTGAAAAAAAGAACTCCTGGATTTGCCTTGGTTCCTAACAAGAGCCTCTTAATTTTAAACTGACTTTTCCAACCTGAGAAACAACAACGTGTTGACACACAGCTATGGCTGAATACTGTAATATGTGTAGGTTTTTGAGACGTGACCCGCAGGCACCATACTCTTTGTCTCCAGCTACCATAAGTGCTTCGCATGTTGGTTTGTGGGAAGGAGATTTTGAAAAACTGTACCCAAAATTTTGACATAGAGCAAGCATTCTCCAAATCTTCAGCGTTATTTCTGAAAGTTTGTCTTTCCCCCCCCACCAGAAATATCAAGCAGAGGAATGCTGAAGAGCTGGCATCTCTGAAGCAACATTTGAAGACAGAAAATAAGACGAGGTAAGATAAACTAAACTAGATAGCATGCATTGTATCTTTAAAACAAAGCAGCAAATTAATGAATTACTGCATCTTGTTGCTGCTATTACATCAGAGATATAAAACCAAAGCCTTACTAGAAATGTAAATATTTAGTGATATAATGGTGAATAAAAAGGCATCTCCTCAAGTATATCCGTGGTTTCATTTGAGTACCGTGGCCAAGAGGTGAGAACCACTGAACTTGTCGTATGAGTGGCTTTTAATCATGATGACACTAAATGTTCTACTTTATTTTATGAGCTATTTGAGATTTTCCCAGGATATGGATACATAAGTAAACTGTAAAACTGTTGGAGGATAAATTTATTTATTTTAATTAATTTCAATTATCATTCATTGGTAGCTGATCCTGCATCTTTGAGGCCAATAATAGCTTTGCCATTGAATTCAGTGAGGAAAAAGTGTCTCAGTTCCCTGTAGTATCAAGCACCTACAGCTCAAGATAGGAAGTATGGGAGCTTTGTGTGCTGAGCACTTTTCAAAATCAGGTCCTCAGGATGGTGGAATCTGGAGTTCCAGCTGTCATATAGACAAATCCTTTGGCAGAGTCAGTAAGAATCATATATCCTTGCATTTTCAGGTATTTCATCTTTCTTTCTTGGACTTACATATTTTTCATTAGTTAACCGGTGTCTTCTGCTGAATCTGTCTTTTCAGGAAACTTTACAGAGAGCTGTTAGGAGGATGTTACACAAAGGTCACAGAAAGATTAAGGGTTATTTTATTTATATTCAGAACATCTGCCCTGAAGTAGTTTGCATCACTCTTTACATACACATGCATGTCTACCCACAGTGGTGTGAGGTACCTACAGAAAAACTTTGAGTTGGGTAAATCAAAGTGAATGATTGTAGCTGGAGTTAGAGTGACATAAAGCTTTCCTGCTACTTTTGAGTTTCTCAGCAACGGCCAGGCTTTAACTGAAGCTCTTGGATGTCTGTTCATACTGTTTGTCTAAACTCAGTTATGTGGGTCTGGTGCTTGAGCTGCTATCATTCCACACCAATATGGAGGTACCTACTTGTCAAAGCAGTCAGACCAATGTATTTGGTCGGCTTTTGTTTTTGTTGTTCCATGAATGCCTCCTTGTATGCGAGATCTCTGATGGGGTTTTTACCTCCTCCTTATTAGTGGCAAGAAAAAAATGTGGTTTCAGGGAAGTGCCAAGCACCATACAGTTAGTAGTATACTCCCCAGAATAAACCCATTGTCTGCTCAGCTACTTCACACTAGCTCTGCAGCTCTGACTTCTCATTTCATTATTCTGTCATGTGAGGTGCAAAGAGATCTGAAGATTTCTTTGTCGTCTAGTCCAGTCTGGTTCTCTCCTGAATATTACATCATAATTTTGTCTTCAAAAAATAATCACGCTCAATCCAAAAAGCCATTGTTGCTTACCCCCTCCTTACTCTCATTGAGATGTCATTCTAAAATCTTGTTCTTCTGATGACTGAGAATAGTTTTCTCTGACTTCCAGCCTGCATTTTCACATTGACAGCTAGTACCTTTTTGGTTTTGTACCAGTGTTGTCTTTTATCCTTTTGATAGTTTACAAACCCTAGAGTTTTATGAATATGAAAGCTTGTCTATTCCAAATTTTCCAATTTGCTAAGCCAAATTAATCATATTATTTGGTCCAGACAAATTCTAATTTTAGGCATGCAACAGAGGCAATTAAGTGAGACCTTAAGACTCCTTCTCCAGGTTCAGTACAAACAGAGAGGCACTCTAAAAGGTTTATATGTCTTTCATCAATCTCTCCTACATTTTGTCAAGATCCTAGCCTTCTGTCTGAACCACTTTGACTGTAGTCCCAAAGTTGCAGGGTACATGTCTGAGTCTTCTGGTCACTTAAATAAGGCTTGCAGTGCCTCTGATAATGTTGTCTTCCTTCTCTGTTTTTCTCCCAGTCCCAATTTATTTCTGCTTATGTGTCTGTCACTAGAGTAATGCTTCAGTGGAAGCTACTGTACTTAGCAAAGCAGAGAAAACTCTTTTTCTCAGAGGAGGAGAATATAAATGGAAAAGTTAATGTAAGAATAGAAACTGGCAAAAAAAGTCATGCTGAACTACTTGCGGAGGTGTGTGAAACATCAGGTATTATAACCCATGACATCCAGCATTACAATATGTTCGTGCTGTACGTAATCAGAGTAAACTGATACCTAAGTAAGTAACCTCCAAGGGCCAATGCTTCATAAGCTATTAAACATGATAACAGGTCTAAAGATCTAAATATCTCCCTTCTTGGAGACATTGAAAAGCCATTTGGACATGGTCCTGAGCAACTTGCCCTAAGTGGCTCTGCTTGAGCAGGGGGTGGGACAAGATGACCTCCAGAGGTCCCTTCCAACCGCAGCCATTCTGTGGTCTGACTTTAACTCCTATTAATAACAGTTTTAAAGCAATTCTTTATCTTACCAGTTGTGTTTTAAATGCAGATTTCTCTCATTTTACTCTAATTGCTTATTTCCGAGTGGTCCAGTTAGACAGTAAATATTTCAGAAATCACTGACCTTCATTTTGCTTTCTGTTATGAGATTGAAGACCTTGAGAAAGAGCTTTTTCAGTCTGAAAACCAAGTCAAAGCCCTGAGTGAAGAAGCAAGTAAGAGGGAAAATGATTACAGGAATTATAATGAGGATTTTACTAGCAAAATAAAATGTCTGGAGGTAAGTTTTATTGTTCTTTTTCTTAACTTTGGGAAGATTTCTGATGAATGAATTGGCAATGGTTATTGCACCTCATTGCAGCTACGCTCACTGGAGATATGCTCAAATGTGACCTATCTGTCAGTAATTTTTTCAAGAAAGTTCTCTACTTTTCAGGTTGGTGCTTTTGGGTTTTTTTTTGTGCTCAAAAGCACTTAAGACCCTCAGATTAAGACACTGGAATCGGTACACAACCATATATGTATAGGTACATATATATATTCATGTACATGTGGGCATCTATGTCAAAAGAATGCAGTAAAGGTGTTTTGCAGAAGGGATGCCTCCCATTTTAAAGTAAAAAGAGGTACAGGACCAGATTCAGTCCTGAAAGGCGTCCAGTTTAGCTTTGTAGTGAGGATCTCAATGTGTAATCTGTTAACGTAGAATCTGTTTCATCATTTTTGGGTAAACAGGCCAACATTTGTGGAAATATGACAGCTTGATTTTAGACACTGGACAAATTCTCCTCTGAATTATTGTTGTTGTAAATGAATCGGAGTGACTGATGGTGTAGAAGACATAACCCAAGGCTACTTAGTATCAGTGTTCTTTAAAACACTGATGAGTTTTCTTTCCCAAAGAAAATAGGACATTGAAATGCAGAATATGAACTACGCAAAGCTTTAAAAGGTTTCAAGCAGTTCTTCGATCTTTGGTATATACTTTATCCTCAGGGAAACTGTCTGACTCTTGATCAACAGTCTGATTTGAGATAGGATAAATCAGGTGCCAGGAGCGCAGGAAATATCCTCTTTGTATGTCTGACCTTAGAAAGGCAGATTTACAGAAGGCCTTGAGGATCTTCCTCATTTTTCTGGTGGAGAGATTATGCTCCCATATCAGGCGAGACAGTTGCAGTCATGTAACTGCTCAAGCTACCCTAAAAATCAGGGCTGAGACTGTCACTGATAAGTAAACAGCTGTGCTGGATTCATTCTCATACTCTTTCTCGCAGTTGAGATATGCAGAACATACAAAAGAGATGCTAAATATACCTTGACTCTCTCTCTGTCTTTTCTTTAATATGATTATTTCTAAAAGACTTTTCCCTAATCTAATATAGTGCTGATGAAACTGTTGTCAGAGGGTTCCCCTTCCTTTGTGGCCTGGACAGAGCCAGGTTGAAAAAGTAATTGTGACTGTTTATTTTCATTCAGTGACACACTCTAACATTTTCTCCTTTTTTAACTGTTTTCCTGCTTTCCTTTCATTTCCTTCCATTTTGATGAAACAATTGATGTTGCTTATTTTTCTTCCCAATTTTGCTTTTGGAGCTTTCAGCATTTTCTTGCACTTGCTCTCCACTATTTTCATCTGCAAAATGATTCTGTCTGAAAGCTCTCATGGAGGTGGTCTGTGTTAGGGGAACAAATTCCTTTGTAAGAGTCATGTCAGGTCAGGTTCATTCTGCTCTGCCTGGAGCATCACAGTGACGCGTGATATCCAAGTAGTCCATAGAAATGAGACTTGGATCATCTTTCTTTCTCTGCCTTCTTCACATACCTGTTTCTGCCAAGGGAGCCATTTTGTCTGTTCTGCTCCTTATTTTCCAGTTTTTTCATTCTTTTTTACCCATTTTTCTGCTAAAGTCCTTAAAAAAAAAAACAAACAAACAACCACTCATGGGCATGTCCAAACATCTGTACTTTGAGGTTTTCTGATATTTCTCGTCTTCAGTCACAGGTGTGGAGATGACTTACCTGACTTCAGAGTCTCAGAGGGACAAAAACATGTAGTGCAGCATTTGGCATTAATGCCCTGTTAAGAAGTGAAATCAGAGTCCTGGTGTTACTCCACATCCAGAGTCCCATTTCATTTCTTTATATGACTTGATTTCCTGGGTATCATCTTGTCTCTCTCTTAATATTGTTCTTCAAGCCTCCCGGTCTATACAGGCTGTTCCTGCTCTCCCATTCTTTGTTTTTACCTGTTGCAGCAAAAGAGGAGACGTATTTTTCCACTGAGAAGTCATTTAACTCATGGCTTGTGTTTCTTTGGCCCTAACCAAGACGAGATTCCACTATGCTGACAGATGCACATACATAGAATTAGATTTTTTTTTTCTTTTAAAACAAAGGTCAGATTTTTTTTTAAAGCTAAGGAATGAGACAGGGAAATATTAAAATGTACAGATTTGTGATAGTATTTAGGTGATGATCTTCTTGTGTTTAACAGTTCTTTTTCCCCACAGATGTAACAGAGTACAAAGATTCCCAGGTTGGTAAGTCTCTGCAGCTCTGTTATACGGGGTTGTAGAGCTCACATTGAGAAGCATTGTAGTTACATTTGTATCAAACAAATATTAGTATGATTGAAAAAATATGCTTAGGGCTGGGCATGGAGCAACAACGTGAGACAGGTCAAGCCACAGAATGACACACTGATAGGAAAGGACATGGAATAACATGAAAGCACTCCGTATTTGTGATAAGATGAAGGAATATTTAAGTTTGTTTTGCTTCACTGATGGGCCAGCAGAATCAAATGCCCAGTGTACTAATGCCAGCATCAGAAAAGGAACATCTCAGGCAAGGATAGGGAAGAAACCAGTTAGCAAGCATACCTAGAGAACTCAGATGCCTTCACATCATCTGAGTCTAATGAAACTCACCTTTGGGTAGTTAAGTGGCTGAAGCCATTTCAGAGCTATTCCTGATTATATTTAGGTGCATGTCAAGAATAGGTGAGTGAAGCTCAAATCAACTTCAGTTCCCAAAATAGCTGTATTGGGTTAGACACAATGTTGTTCCTCCCAGGATTCTGTCTTCTGCAGTGATCAATAGTCCTGCTTGGAGATGTAATGTAAGAACAGTCAAATATAGAATGAACCTTCCATGACAAATGAAATGTCAGGAACTTCTTTGGATGGAGATAGTATCTGCATTTAATAGGTTTGATGGAATTTTGTGCTATACTGGATCTTCAGTGCAATATTCTCCTAACACTGATGTATTCTTTTAGCTCACATATACATTTATCCTCCATAACAACCTCTAACATGTAATTTACATAATAAGGACATTAATTTTTTTTATTTAAACCTGCTGTCTCAAAAGTTTATTTGCATCTTGCAGTTCTTGTGTTTCTTATGAGAAACGGTGAATGACTGTTGTCTTGTCATCTTCTCCAGCAAAGGTGTGCAATTTTTACACACCTTTATCATATGTACTTTCAGTTGTCTCTTTTCTAGGCTGAAGAATCCCAGGTATAAAAACGGTTGGAAAAATCATCCTAGGTAATAGTTACCCATGCTTTACTAACAAAATAGAATAACGGTCTCCACTAGTTTGTGGGAGGTCTGCTCTCAGACTGGAATTAATCTCTTTTTTCCTTAATGACTCGGGGGATAGGACAGAGCGAATGCTTATGGTATCTGCAGACAACAAACACGATAATAGCGGGAGTGCACCCTCTGCAGGGCAGAACTAGATTTCAGAATTCTTTTAGCAAGTTGGAGAAATAATTTCGGGGGAAAAAAGGTGCATAATAATAATAATAATAATAATAATAACAACAATAAAAGATATTTTTGTGTTTGGGTAGAAGCAGTTGTCTGTACAAATCCATCATGACAGAGATATTTAGGCAGTGGTAAACAGAACTAAAGCTGAAAAGTCGAACATAATTCAAAAAAGATTTATAGTGATGAAACAGGCAACTGTCAAACCAGTCTGTATAAAAAGGGAGATAGCCTGGCAAGGCTGACCATATGTGTTCTCTAGCTCATTTTGGTAGGACACAGCCGGAGTATGGTGCCTGTTATTGATCACCTCATTTAAAGGAGGATGTGGCTTATTTTGTGATCCACAGAATCACAGAATCACAGAATGGTAGCGGTTGGAAGGGACCTCTGTGGGTCATCTAGTCTAACCCTCCTGCCGAAGCAGGGTCACCTACAGCAGGCTGCACAGGACCTTGTCCAGGCGGGTCTTCAATATCTCCAGAGAAGGAGACTCCACAACCTCCCTGGGCAGCCTGTTCCAGTGCTCCGTCACCCTCAGAGGGAAGAAGTTCTTCCTCATGTTCAGACGGAACTTCCTGTGCCTCAGTTTGTGCCCATTGCCCCTTGTCCTGTCGCTGGGCACCACTGAAAAGAGCTTGGTCCCA